TTCCAAAATTTAATAATTGCATTGCAGATTTTGTTAACAATTGGGGTTTCTATTGCTAGTTGTGAAAGGTCCTTCAGTTAGCTGAAATTAATTCTTATATACTTGAGAATCTCAATAACTCAAGAATGACTTAGTAACTTGGCAATATTAAGTATTGAAAAAGACGTACTTAATACCTTAAATTTTGATAGTTTAATTGATGCATTTGCAGCAGCAAAAGTACGAAAGGTTCATATAATGTAACCATGAATACCAGAATGCTATCTGTACAAGATCTAGTTAAGTATATGTACAGTTTTGTAAACTAATAAAATTTGTTATCTGTAAACTTAAGTAGTATTTTATCAATCTGTTTTATAATCCATGTACACCACAAGTGACTGGCTTCTTATATAAAACATAAGTTTCAAAACTAGGGATATAACAGAACTTTATTACTCTAGCTATGTGACTTTGAACAATACTGGATGACATAAATATCAAAATGGTTTACAAATTATGTAAGTACACCTAGTAGGCTATACTTCATTAGTTCCACGTTTACAGTTGTGATGTTATATTATGACTTTATTTTAGGCCTGTGTAAGTGGTAATTAATTCTTTATGTTATTGTCATTAAGTATGTAACGAGTCACAAAACAAATAATCAAAACATTTCAAAGGTGGGGCGCCAAAAGTGTCTTTGCCCCCGGGTGCTGAGAAACCTTGCTACGCCATTGCTCTTGGCAATCTTTTTTCCTTCCTTCATCTAGAGAATGTGTTAGCTTTGTGTACTTCGAATAAAAACACAGCTTTTGATTGGTTATAAACTTATAAGTATAAAAAGCAGATGTAGATAAACAAGTCTTCTCAAATACAGAAGTGGTGGGAAGAGCCAATATGGTGGATTCAATAAATATTATGATATCTCAGCAAATGGAAATGGTAGGAGGTTCATATTTTATATTCTAGCTTGCCAATATTGTAAATTTCAGTTTATAATTCGCATGGAACTATACACATTGTATTGTGGGCATCATAACATGTAATCTGACCAAACCCAAATGACGTACCAGTGTGAAACGCAAAAATCAATATTTAGCTTTTTTGTATATTTACTTCCAAATCAAGAAAATAACTAATGTATAATAATAAAATTTTAATTAAAATCTCCAATTTGATGCCATGTTTGTTGACATACATTCCAAAAATAGTAGTTCAATAAATTGTTGAATGTTAGTCTACAAATGTGATGACATACCCTCTGTCCCCTAGTTACCCATAATGACAGGGTTAAAACTAAACATTCGTGAAGTATAAATGCATAAAATTATACAAATCCTCTTACATAACTCTAATAACATCCATCCAAAAAGCA